AGTTTTGAAGTTGTCCCCCTTTCTTGCTCTAACCTAAAAGCTTGGCGGAGGTGCGGTGCCATGCCTACCACAGGAGCAGACGTCCCTCAAGAAATATTCGGTATCCTCCTGGATACCTTTGCGCAAACCAAACGAGTCTCGCTTAATATCGAGGAGTCGAAGGAAATGAGGAATCTCATGAGCCAATGCTCGCTAGTGTCCAAGTTCTGGGCCGGCCGATGTCGCCCTCGGCTCTTCTTCCGTCTCACCTTACGCTCGCTCGAGGACGTCAATACCTTGCTCAGCCTCCCCACTGCTGTCAAGAGCTACATCTTCTACCTTCATCTCGAAGAGATACAGCCATCTGTGCCATGGACGCATCACGTCTACTGCGCCGTGCACGACGGACGACTCTCAGAGCGATCGTCTCTGTCGCATAAACTCAACGGCGCATGCACTCCAACGTCTTTCTAGACACTTCGTTCTCTATACCCGTCGTTACCAAGATCCCCACCTATCCTCATTCAGGATCCCGTTCTCATACATGTCCAGAACTACCGGCTCCGAGCCTTCACCGACTGCGTACATATTACCCGGAAGCTATGGCGCTGCATGTTCTGGGAGATGGATTTCACGAATGTCTCGTGGGTGCAACGACCTGAACCGGACATGCCTCCGCCCATTCTTTCTCTGAAGAACAGTACCATGAGTGGAACCGTGAATATTCATGATTGTCCAGATCGCTGGCCGTTTGTCTGGCTGTTCGTCACCATTCTGCGACCAGATCCAAGTAAACAGAAGATCTACTCAGCCGCATATCTGCACCCCGAAGAAGCAGCAAAACTAGCGGCTCTTGTCCAATGTATAACCACATTTACCGCCAAGACGAACTGCTCGCACACCAAAATAACCCGTGAGTCGTCTCTTGTTTACAGAGGTTTCGACACTGACACTCAACGCCCGCACCGTGTGCCACAGGCTCTGGGCCCACGTATTTTGATACCTCCTCTTCTTTTACTCTAATTATCCAGCGCCTCGAGTCAAGGAGTTGCACTCTCAGGACGGAAATACACATCAAACATGGGAGTATAACGAGAATTCACTTGCATTTTGGGGCCAGTTCGGACAGCAATAGGTCACCCCTCGACCTCGATTGGTGCGAGTTGGACCATATTATTTCGCAGTGTCACGGCCTTGCTACCGTCGTCGTGGACATCGTGGCAGCGCAGTCTGACGTGGCCAAAATCGCTGAAGACATGACAATGCGCCTGAAACGCCTGCGTGAAGCAAACAAGCTTATCCTCAATCACAGCATAGACGGCCGGAGTAAAGGTTGGCAGGGCTGGGTCTTTGTAACTGAGAGTGAGGACTCGGACATAATAGAAGACCGGCAGTAGCGTGAGCATGCATTGAAGCATCGTACTTGACACTATCATTGCGCTCAACTGCGTGCTCCCCGCAGGATGTCCGTGATATTCATATCTCCTTTCTTGGCCAGAATAATTGCTTGTTCATAATGCGCACATGCGTGCTTGACGCTTAGCCAGTAGACCCCGTCCTCCGTTTGAACTTTGCGCGCGTCAGCCTCAATGTCTTAGCTAAGCGCCCTCGTGTATTGAGGCGGCACAGCACTGCTGGTAATCCACACTAGTTGCAACTCTCCCATGTTGACGAATTTATAAGTCGTGAGCAACGTCGCTCGGCAGCGGGGCCGCACGACCTACGGTGAAACGCTACATCGTGGCCGTTCCCTCGTATGCAAATTCTGGGCGTCACGCTGCCATCCGTGCATCTTTCATCTGGCAACCACCTCTCCCTCGCAGGTGTGCAAGCTATATTGTCAGCCTCTCGAACGCCGTTAGGCACTACATCAGGTACTACATCACCGACCTTACTGTGGAAGAGACGAGAGCATGCGTTCCGTGGAGCACCCTGTCTACAGTGCCTTGCGTGCCGGTGTGTTCTCACCCCTGTTATCACTGTTGCACAAGCTCAGCAGGACATGCAGGCTAACGTCCGTCCAAACTCTCCGCTCGCTGCACTCGTCCTTGCCTAAATGGCTCCCGGCCCTTGGACGGCCGTGCTTTCCCGTTCAACTTCGGAATTATCGGCTTGAAGCCGCCGCACATGCCGACGAAGGCTTGGGCCTAGCACGAAATGGGAGACGGAAGCCACTGACGTGTTCTAGGTCAAGCACCTAGACGGCGTTCCGCCTGTTCTGGCCCTTAAGCTTCAAGCTTCAAGGGCCGGACCGTCTCCGACAAACTAGTCTTTCTAGGGCGTGTGGAACGCTGGTCGTCCGTCTGGCTGTTTGTCGCGACGTGGCAGCCCGACTTGAACTACCAAAGCGCCACGGCATATATGCACCCGGTCAAAGCGTCCAAGTCCGGTGCGACTGTGTGCCGCATCGCTCCTTCCGCAAGACGTGACGAAGATGGATCGCTGTGCATGCATACTGCGATGATCCGCTAGTCTTTCTCCACCAAGATACTTTCCAGTGCTGATTGCGATCACTGCAGGGACCGGTCCATCAGGATGGGGCCCGCGCAGCGCGCTCAAGTTTATGATCGTCGGCGGGCAAGTCGCTGAGTGCGTTCCATTCATATACACTGCCGAAACGGCGACATCTCGCGCGGTTTAGTAGTGACGAGAATGAAATCCATCTGCCTTTCGATATCGACTAGTCCGAGTTTCATGCGATTCGCCTCTGGATGCTGCGACCTCATGCCATCGTCGTGCGATTATACGCCAGATCACTCCGCGCGGCTGAGTTTGCCGAGGGCATGGTCATACGCCTGAAACGCGTTTTCGAAGCAGGAAAGCTCACTATCATGTAACAGGAAGGTTATGATGATGATACATATGTATAGAACTTCGAGAAGGCGCTCGCATGAAGTTTAGGGGCAGAAGTGGGTAGCATTTCTATGGCTAGACTCGTCATCCAATTATTGTGACTGACTTCATTATGGCATAGGATCCTATCGCATTTATAGCATTCCTGTTGATTTTGTATGGTGAAAAGCTTTTTCGCACATATGGGTACTGCCTGACATATGCCACATTAAACAGCAAAGTTTGCGCGTCAGCCTGTTCATATCGATTTGATCGACGGCATTCCGCGGTTGCAGACAATGAGGCACGGCCCTGAACAACATCACCGTTCCTTCTCGTCTTGCCGTCGACCATATACCCCTACCACTCTCCAAGGTCTTCCAAGAAGCTGCCATGTTAGCTTCGGCAGCAGACATTCCCGAAGAGTTATTTGAATTAGTTTCGGAAATCCTGACTCGGAACGTAACGTTCATCCGTGAGCCGGAGGACCGCGCCCCAGTCAAACGTTGTATGAACCGATGCTCGCTCGTGTGCAAGTTCTGGGCCTTGCAATGTCGCCCTCGCATATTCAGCCATCTCACCTTGCGATCTATTGAAGACACTCAAACCCTGCTCAATCTCTCACGTGTGGTCAGGCGTTACGTCGTTAACATCTTCCTTGAAGAGATAGAGCCCTGCGAGCCGTGGACACACATCGTCCATCGCGCAGTTGCGAGCGGTGAGCTCTCGCCGGACACTATATCCCACAGGCTCGATGGTGCCTGTACGCCGACGTCTGTCCAAATTCTCCGTTCTTTACACCCGTCCTTACCTCAGCGGACTCCTGTGGCCTATCAAGAACACATCTTCCTCCATGTTACGAACTACCGGCTACGGGTTTTCACAGATATTGCGCAGCTAGTGCGCAAACTGCTGGAGTCAAGGAACTGGCAGATCGAGTTTACCAACATCTCGTGGATCAAGACCCCCGAAACTGTTCCTTCCGCGCTTGGGATGAAGAATCGGGCGATGTGCCACAACATCGAAATCAGGCAGTGCGTAGAACGTTGGCCGTTTGTTTGGCTATGCATTAGTACCAGGCCACCCGAGTCTAATGGCCGCACTCGCGTCGCGTATTTATCCCAAGAGGAGGCATTCAGATTAGGCGCTCTCGTACGCTGCCTGACTGCCCCAGTAGGCCACAAGGGGAGACCTTACTGCTCGCATACGCTTATCCATCGTAAGATGGTCCGTTCGCATGAAAGAAACGCACAACGTTGATACCGCATATAGGAAATGGCCCGACGTTCTCAAACAACGGGACTATGTTCAAACTTCAGATCAGCTGCATGGAGGTGAATAACTGCACGCCCATGACACATATCATCTGCAAAGATGGCCATATCTTTCACATTCAGTTTTGGTTCAACACGGATCCCGCCAACGGCTGCATGCCGTTCGACTTTGACTGGGACGAGTTCGATACCCTGGCGTCGCAGTGCCACCAACTCACGCATATCGTCATGCGTATCGGTGCGGACCTGGAATATGTAACCGAATTTGCCGAAGGCATGGCAAGGAGGTTGAAGGGCGCTCACCGCGCCGGGAAGCTTACCATCTTCTACGAAGGTACGGAAGATGAGGATGTAGACTGGCACACATGGGAGTTCAAAGCTTCGTAGTGGGGAATTCTCAAGAGGTTGGGCACAGGTGAATATCTACGCCTTGGTCCTCGATTCCCCCAGTCATGTTAAGGTTTAAGCGTCAGCACCCTCCATGGGTCCCATCAATCACCGTCGCAAATCTCCTGGCTAGGAACGCAGGCAATGCGGCTGGCATAATTCGGCTACCTCGCCTCGTTTTTCCGACCTCTTTCTCCCTTTGACAGCCATCGGCTCTGCGTCAACAAACCATCGACATGCCTGCCACGGCTGTAGACATCCCCGAAGAACTGTTCGACCGTATCCTGGGCATCCTCGCATGGGATATGGCCATCTCTGTCTTCAGATCGGAGGCTATTGCACAAGGAAAACGATACATGAATCGTTACTCTCTTGTGTGCCGATTTTGGGCTTCGCGGTGTCGCCCTTGGTTATTCGAACGTCTCGTTTTGCGTTCTCTCGAGGACGCCCAGTTCTTGCTCGGCCTCTCCCCTGCAATCAAGTACTACGTCGTCAGTCTATCTCTCGAGGAGACAGAACCCTGCCAGCCATGGACCCACATCGTCTACCGTGCAGTCGCCCACGATAACTTCTCACCGAAGATACTCGTGTCTCATTCGCTCGATGGCGCCTGCACCCCGACGTCCGTACAGACTCTTCGATCGCTCCAGCCATCCCTCCCACAACGAATGCCTGTCATGCTGCAGGACCAAATTCGTTATCACGTAAAGAACTACAGGCTCCAAACATTTACAGATATTGTACTGGTCGTACTCAAGCTCTCGACGTCGGTGATTTGGCAACCCCACTTTACAAATATTTCCTGGATCAAGCCGGTCGGCGTTGTTCCCCCCATGCTTGGACGGAAGAACCGCGCTTTATGCGACCACATGGAGATTTATCAGTGCGTTGATCGATGGCCATTCACTTGGCTGTGTATCACGACCAGGGCGCCCGAGCCCAACAACCGCCAGGCAGTGGCCTACCTACCGCCCGACGAAGCATGGACACTCGGTGCGCTCGTACGCTGCATCACATCCCCAACAGGGCACAAAGGCAGATCATACTGCTCACATAGTGCCATCTATCGTAAGAATACCACTCTACTTCCCGTATAAGCTGTGATGCTAACGCGGTTCCTAGGGCAAGGCCCACGGAGGACAAACAACCACACTAGTTTTGAGCTCCAGATCTCCTGTGCCGAAGAGATGAACTGTACACCTTATACGCACATCCTCTGCCGGGACGGCCGCATCTCGCAGATCCGGTCCTGGTTCCTCACAGATCCAGAGCACGGTTGCATGCCCTTCGACTTCGATTGGGCCGAGTTCGACACGCTCGCGTCGCGGTGTCACGAGCTCGCCGAGGTGCGCATGTACCTGGGTCCAGATCGCACCTACGTCGCCGAGTTCGCCGACGGCATGACGCAGCGGCTGCGGCACGTCCATGGCACGGGGAAACTAAACATCTGGTATGAGGGCATGGAGGACGAGGACGAGGTCTGGCACACATGGAAGTTTAACACTCATGTAGACGGCGATGATGCCTAGGAACTGACCGGCGTCTTCGCTGGACGCCGCCCCTCGCCGATGCTGCGCGATCGTCTGCTAGTGCCAGTGGCGACGTCCCGTACAGCCGCGAGGCCAGCACACGGCTTTAACTATGCCTTTTCCTACTCCATCCGCCCCTAGTCGTTGTCATGACTGTGCTTTTACCCTCCGCTATTCTTGGCTGCGTCCTTGCACTGGCAGCTGGATCAATCTACCACTTCGATTCTGCCCATTGCCGATCTTCAAGCACGCTCTAAATGTCCTCGTGCTTGTTGCATGTTCTGAGTTGCATGATATCGCACACCCATCTTCCGACGCTACATTTCGCAGAGGACATCTCCGGTCTTTTATCCTTCAGACGTTCGTGAGTGCGTTATTAACACTGTGGTTGGGGACACGGGACCAGGATGTCCCACAGTAGACGAATTGGCCGCACATGACTCTGTGGCTTGCAGGATTCTGGCCGTTCGTAACGGCCATTCATGGCCTATCTGGTCAACACGATCGTTGCACTTGCTCTACGGGCCGCTTCCGAGAAGCCTGCCGGCGCTGCACCAGCCGCCCATAGCTCTCTACGATATCAAACCACCGCCTTCCGGTCTTGTAAACATCCTGAACTTTGCTAGCGCGCTCCGGTAGAGGGGCATATACTAGGAGCTGTGGCTCACGAACGTCGTGTGGGGCGCGGCTTCCAATGCCGAGTGCGCACTAGCGACTTTGAGTCTAGACTAGAGGCGCTGCGCGGTGTGCTCAGGTGTGGACGGAACGCTGGCCGTTTGGCTGTTTCCGTGTCACGACGCATGTATCGGAGCGGCCGCGTGCCCTACGTCCATCCCGACGCGTCCGCCTCATCAGGTGCATGAACTCAAAGCCATCACGTCCGGACCATGTGCGTAGGCATATCCACGGTGTGTCACGCTCGCCTTTCTTTGATGCTCAGACGCTGACCGGAGGGCGTGTCCTGGGGTCTGTTCCATTTTACTGCGCCAGGAGGCTTTGATTTTCACGCCGCAGTACACCTGCATGGAGGCTTAACCCTGCCTGCTGATGATGCCCACGAATCGGATGAAAGTACACCTCAAGATCTCGGGCGAGGTGAACGCTTTAGACGAGTACGACTAGGGCGCCTTCAACATGAGTTCAGACCACGTAGCACTCGAGCACGGGCAGGCGGACGATTTCGGTGCAGAGGTTGGGTATGAGGTTACACAGGTTGAGGGAGCGGGGCACACCGAGATTCGTAGCTTGATTGCAAATGTGATGAAACACTATTGAAGAGTCAGAACGAGAGGATTCTAGTGGCCACGCAAAAGTTATGGCATCAAAATGTTAACAGAAGGGCATCCAAGAGAACGACAAGCGAGATAATAGAAAGCTAACTCAACGATACAATCAGATAATAGTACAGATCTCTTCTCTACTTCGGTGGTGGGGACGGCGAACCTGTGTTTGAGTTTAGCGGTGACGCAACCCTGGTATTAAACAGAGCCTACCGAATAGACCGGCTCGAGGAGGCGCGGGCGAAGCCATAGGAGGAGCAGCCATTTGAGGTTGAGGCGCGTACATGGGGTTGGCTATTGCATTGCATTCAATCCCCGAATCTGCTTCAGCACCAATCTACTCACGTCTCCACTGAGCCCAAGAAGGCAGATTTGATGGAGGCGGTGCCTCGATCGCTGGGGGTGGCGGAGCTGCGGCAGGCGCAGGTAGGGCTTTGGGCTTCTTTTGTCGGGGAACCCGCTTGTGAACAGTCCGCCAGGCAGGGGGAGCAGGGCCGGCGGGCTCGGCGGGATCTGGGGGCGGCGGTGGGGGCAAAGCGGGGGGTGGGGTCGCCTCGCGCTGCCCAGGTGTCAGTCGGTAGCATTCAGAAGTACGCAATGCAAACATACATGGCCGGGATGCCAGTCTGGCGTGTACTCCCCGCCGCTGCTGTACTTCGCCCTCACGGCCATGAGCTCGGAGATCTCGCTGGTCAGAGGGTCAGTATGAAGAGCCCGACGTGAACGAGAACGCGTGGGACGCACTGTTGCAACTGTCTTCGTTCATCTCTGAGCTTGCCGACCTCCTGCAGCAAGATGCGAACTTCGCCCGCGAGAGCCTTGCTGAAGTCATTGATGTACCTATCCCAGAGCCCGAATCAGCCGGCGCTTGCGACGAAAGCTGCGGACTTCGTACACACTTTGGCGGGGCACCGTAGTTGCCCTTCGGCGGAGGACCGGACATGGCGAACTAGTAGATGTTGTAGGCGGTAGTTGGACGTTCAGAAGGAAGAATGGGATGGAATACCGATGCCCAACTTACCCAGGATCATAACGTGATAGGCAGCAGGTACACGAGGCAGGCAAGTTCCTCCGAGCTGCCTTCTTCGGATATTTTGAGCATTATCCTGGAGAAAATAAGAAAATAAGAAAACAGTACGGCACACATTTGACGCGAAGATATCTGTGTTCAATGAGAGACACTGCAAGACATGGCAGTATGCAGCCAACTTGAACTGGCCTTAAACCCCCTAACACTTCAATGCCTTCACATAGCGCGCGTCAAAGCAATCTGCGATCAAAAGTGCACGTGATGTTTTGTTTGCATCATGTGACTTGAACGCGTCCTGTTTAATGTCGTGACTTGCCCAGTTTGCAACTTCACCGACTTCCGCCATGCCCGCCGCGACCATCACGAGGAAGCGCAAGTCGACGGGGGAATTAGGAGGAAAGGCAGCAAAGCAGCCCAGGAAGACGCTTGACTCGTTCTTCTTGCCACAGGTGCTCGCTGCGGGTGCTCCAGAAGACGAGACGATCACGAGACAGCATGTGGTGCTGAACGAGGAGCAGATCGAGGTGTTTCGGATGGTAGTTGAAGAGGGAAAGAACGTCTTCTTCACTGGATCCGCAGGTGCGTGTTTCCCACCCGAGGAGTGGCGTGCCTCTCTCACGATGGCGTAGGCACAGGCAAGTCGCTGCTCCTCCGCGCTATCATCGACGCTCTGCGCAAGAAGCACGCCAAGAAGCCTGAAGTGGTCTCCGTGACCGCCAGCACGGGGATGGCTGCGTCAAACATCGGGGGGACGACGATACACGCATGGGGCGCCATCACGCCTGGTATGCACGACATCGGCAAGCTAATCAGCTACATCAAGACGTGCAGGCCCGCGCACAAGCGATGGAAGGTCACGCAGATTCTCATCGTCGACGAGGTCTCCATGGTCGACGGTCAGCTATTCGACACGCTCGCGAAGCTCGCGGTCGAGCTCCGGAAGAAGACCGACCGCCCATTCGGGGGGATGCAGCTCGTCGTAACGGGGGATTTCTTTCAGCTACCGCCGGTTACGAAGGGTGGAAAGGAGCCGTTCTTCGCGTTCCAGAGCGCGGCGTGGAAGGAGTGCATCGAGCACACCGTGACGCTCACGGAAGTCTTCCGCCAGAAAGACGGCACGTTCGTCAAGCTCTTGAACGAGATGCGCCGCGGGGAAATTTCGCCTGAGGCGAGGAAGACGTTTATCGGGCTCTCGCGGCTGCTCCCGCAGGATGACGGGCTGCTGCCGACCGAGCTGTTCCCGCTGCGGGTGGAGGTAGACCGCGCAAACGCGGCGCGCATGGCGGCACTTGCGGGCCCCGCGTTTGCGTATGAGGCTCGCGACAGTGGTGCCGCTCCGGCTGACAAGCGGGCGAGGCTTCTGGAGGCCATGGTCGCGCAGCGCGTACTCGAGCTCAAGGCGGACGCGCAGGTAATGTTGATCAAGAACGTCGACGAGAGTCTCGTGAACGGGAGCGTCGGGCGAGTCCTTGGGTTCTACTCGGCGTCAGCGTGCATCGCGAGCGTCGACGCATCTGTCTCAGCGAACCCGTCTCCGATAAAACCAACAAGCTCAACCTCGAAGGCGGGGAGCTCGACGTCAAAACTCAAAACCTCCCAGGAGTCAGCAAGGTCATCCGGCGGTTTCGTGCGCAACGTACAGGTAGGGCCGGACGGCAAAACGCCTATTGCCCTCTGTCCCGAGACAGTGAAGGAGAACACCAGCCCACCGCCGTCGTCGGCTAAGGGTAAGGCGAAGGCGAAGGACGAAGAGTTCTTGCCACTTGTAGAGTTTGGAACTCCCCAAGGGAAGGAAATTGTCTTAATCGCCAGAGACGAGTTCCGTTCAGAGGACAACGAGGGGAAACTGCTTGCGCGTCGAGTCCAAGTAAGTCTGCCCGATTTCCTAGCTGTGCACATACTCAAAAAGGACTATAGATCCCGTTGGTTCTCGCCTGGGCTATGTCAATACACAAGAGCCAGGGACAGACAATCCAACGGGTGAAGGTCGACCTCGAGAAGGTCTTTGAGAAAGGTGCGCTGTCGGGTCCTCCTTCACCCGCGCTCGCTAATATCACCTCTTGCAGGCCAAAGTTATGTCGCTCTCTCCCGCGCAGCGTCCATGGAAGGCCTGCAGGTCCTACGCTTTGACGCGAAGAAGGTTATGGCACATCCGAAGGTCATCGAGTGGGCGAAGACGCTTGGGCAGGCAGGCTCGTCGTGAGGGTGGACAGCTGGGGTGACTCTGTAGATAGCATACGAACATTAAGTTTATCGATTAAGCTATCATGACATGCACAACTGTCGTATTCTACATAGACTTCATGAACCACTGGAGATTATTACCTTCTAATAGATCACACGGGTACGCGGCACACCACAACAGCCAGAATACAGCTATGATCTAGCATCTCAATAAGGCGATGCACCTATAGATACTTAAAGCTTCTCTTGAGCAGTCGTTAGGTGCATGTGTAGGGGAGAACTAATTAACTGTGAGATTAAACGCCTGCGACTCTCCGCTGCAGAGTAGCCAGACCCAACCGGCAAAGTGACTCTCTATTGAAGAAGCAACACAGGATTGCTCACTTTACTTCGAGTCTAAGTCTAAGACTATGTAATCATATTATATATATATATTCCGATTTTTGTGTGGCCGCCTGGCGAAATGGCATCGCGTCTGACTACGACCAAGCGGATGAACCGTTGGTATAAATCAGGAGATTGCAGGTTCGACCCCTGCGGTGGTCATTAAGTGAACGAGAGTATGCTTTTTGTTGCAGTCCACATCTTCACAGAAATACGAAGTATGAACGTTATATGAACATTGAACAAAATTAAAGGAAGCCTCCGCAAGACGATTTGAAGCTGTTTTATCGCGTTTGATCTGCATCCCTGGCGCTGATCAACCCATGACTCATTTCTTCAGCATGCACAAGATATATCAAGCTACAGTATCTTCGAGCAGTAGGGGTTAGAGGGAGATACCACAAGTCTGCAAGGACGCTCGGGAGAAGATGACCAGCGGCTTCCGCACTTGTCTAATTCAGTTGTTATAGCAAGGCGTTGAGTGCGTCTGACAGCTGCCAGCCGTCGAAGCAGCAGCTAACACGGCCATAACCTGAACGCGCTGCACCTCCGAGTCATAGGGGCCTACCCCTTGTGCTGTGGAGAGAAGATCATCAGCGCAACGCCAGGCTCGTATGCCAAGGGCGCGGACATTGTCACCGAGAAGGGCGAGGCGGCAGGCCTGTTCGACTCGGAGTTTGGCGAGAGCGGTATCGTCGTCACGTTTGAGTCGGAAGGAGGCGAGTGTGAGCTGATTGGGATGCATGTCAAGACCTCGGCCTCGCGACGTCATCTCAGGATGAGGTACCAAACGGACACTGGGATGATAATGTGAGCGTGAAGCGTAAAGGATCTGGTGTGTTCAATAGTGTATAACATGGACATACTGTAACTGTATTCGTTATACCGTGGCAATCCCATGAGAGCAATGCGACAAAGAGTCATCCTGTTATGATCCATATATGGCAGGTGGAGAGCTTTAGATCCTACCAGGCGCGACGAACACCACTATGAACGCCACTGCGTCACCGTCCACGAGACTGCGTGTTGCCAGGGTGTGGCGGACAGTTATAAACAGAGATATGACGGTGGTCATGTTGCTTCGCAACTAATTCCCGGCCCCTTTTATCTCCTCCCAACATCCAGACCTGACAGGAACTTACAACCGGATACGTCGCGCGTGACCATGCAGTACGCACATTCAGCAGTTGATTATGGTCTGCAATGTACGAAGTTGGTGAGTTCCCAGTGTTCGTCGCACCACAGAACGCGTTATTCAGACGTTAGTTTTCTTCTCATCCTAGGTACAACATCGCCAAGTCGGATGGCTCACGAAGAACCGCGAAACTGGAGAGCTCATCCGCGAGCAGGTGCCGCTCATGAAGAAAGCCAGGATGTTGCTCCTCTTCAACCCTCTCACCGAGTGGGTAGATAGAACACACACTTTCCGATACATCTTGCATGAGAAGACGGATCACTCAAAGAGCAAGGAGGTTAGTGACCAGCTCGACAGAAAGAGGGGATAATGCTGAGGCCGTGGTCTAGGAAGACCCGCGTTCGAAGGAGCAGATCAAGGCTTTTGTCGACTTTTACCATGTAGACATGAACCAGTTCGAACCGTCAGATATCAATGCGTACAAGGTACGATGCTTGCTTTTTTTACGCTGCCAACAGCTGAATAGTCAAACCCAGAGTTTCCAAGACTTCTTTATCCGACTCCAGTACGCATTCCCTCTAGTTCCTCACTTCACTTCACAAAGCTGAATCCTCATGACAGTAAACCCGGGGTCCGCCCTATTGCATCCCAAGAAGACCCCTCTGTAGCTGTCTGCGTCGCCGACTGTCGCATGGTCGTCTACGACACCGTCGCAGAGACCCACAAGCTCTGGATCAAGGTGCGCACACCAGCAGTTCTGCCCACTCCACAGTCCCTGATATAGCACGTCATTGAACCAGGGCCGCGACTTTTCCATTGCGCAGCTGCTCCATGACAAGGTTGCGGCACGGCCATGGCAAAACGGCGGGGTCGCGTCCTTCCGCCTGAGTCCGCAGGACTATCACCGGTACCACTCACCCGTGCACGGCATCGTGAAGTGGTGGAAGGAGCTCGACGGCGACTACTACTCGGTACGCCTGCCACAATATGACGCACGCGTCGCTGTCTACACGCTGACCTCGACCACCACAGGTTGACCCGATCTGCATCCGGAGCGACATCGACGTCCTCGCGGCGAACGCGCGCTCGGCGTTCTGCCTGTCCACGAAAGAGTTCGGTGACGTGCTCTTCGTCGCGATCGGTGCGCTCGAGGTCGGCACTGTCAAGCTCTCGGACAAGATCACGTCCGTCCTGCCCGGCTCGCAGGCGCCCGCGAAGGACGTCGTGATTGAGAAGGGCGAGGACGTCGGCTTCTTCGAGTTTGGCGGCAGCAGCATCATCGTCGCGTTCGAGCCTGGGCGCATACAGTTTGACCAGGACCTCAAGGACGCGAGCAGCGAGCTAATTGAAATGAATGTGGAGGTGGGGATGAGGATGGGCCGAGCGACCGCGCCAGACTTTTGAATGGGGCTTTAGCTCGTGTGGAGGACATGGACCTTCTGGACTTAGAACTTGGATATAGCACAGAGTACGAAACAAGAATGTACCAGCAAAGTGATGTATGATACTATTCGCGATATACAAGATTATGCATTCCATAGATCCATCAGCACTACATTGTAAAGTCCACTGCAACCACAGACAATCAGTATCGCTGTAGACTCAAGTCAACGACAACTCACCATCACAATAACGCAAGAAATCTGACGATCTGCAGCATATATAGTGTAATAGGCGGGTTACTCGCCAATGTCCATCAAATTTTCGGGTGAACCAGGTGCATCCGTGTCGGAGAGGGGCGTTGTCGTCCTAGCAGGACTCAGCTCTGACGCGACTTGTGGAAGAGCCACTTGCTTAGTGCCTGACGGAGATGCTTCTTTAGCTTCTGGTGCGGACAGAGGTTGGGCTGGATCAGGTGCAGCTTGCATAGCACCTGCAACCTGTGCTTCGGGAGTTTTCTCATCTGTTGTGGGCCCTTTCTGGCGAGGTATCGATAGTGCAGACGCAGGCGGCGGCGTTGCCTCCCGACTCGAGTTCAGCTCCGTGGAAACGCGGCGCAAGCCAGCGTGCTGCTCAACCTCGGGCAAACCTCGTCTGGCTGTGTCCGCTGAGAACGGCTGCACGTCTGCTTTCGCCTTGCCTTTCCCAAGAGTGGCGTCCGCACCACGAGTAACTCCGCCACCTCTGCCAGACAACCTGCGCCTCCGTGTGGCCTTCGTAGTAGGCCGAGACGGCCCTTCCGTCTTCCGGCTCGGCGTCGCAGGCCTCCGCTCCTGCTCCTGCGCCGCCTGGTCCGCCAGCACCTCCAACGCGCTGCTGATCCGCCCCAGCGCCTGTCCACCTCGCGCCTTCGGCGTCGGTGTGTGCACCGGCATTGTCTCCCCCACCGTCGCGCCCGACACCGACTGCGGCGTGCTCGGCATGACCTTCCGTCGCTTCGGCGTCGGTGTCGCGACCTCGAGCGTGTCGGCGGCGCCCCGCGCGCGGCGTGAGGCGCGCTTCGGGGTGTGCACATGCACCGGGGTGGCCGCCCTGCTGTGCTGCGACCCTTCATCGTCTGCGAGCATCCGCGCCGCGCTCAGGAGCGAGTCGAGGCCCTGCGTTGTGCCCGCGCTCTCGGTGCGTCCGAGGCCCGGCGTTTGCGCGGCTGAGGGTGTGGCAGCGGAACGTGTCGGCGTGGAGGCCTCTGCGGGTGGCATGGCCTGCGCGACTTTGCTCGTACCCGGACTCGATGACGACGGGAGCGCAGCGGGACCGGGGGGCACCATTGGCGGCCAGATGCCGCTCATGGGGACGAAGAGGGGCATCGCACCTGGCGCGCTACCTGGCATCGGCACTGGCACAGGGCCCATGCGCTGGCCGGCGTGCATGGGGTTGACGTAGACGAGATGGGACATGCTAGGGAGGGAGCCGTAGTAGCCCCCACCTGTGGGATTGGTGGAGGCACCAGACGACGCTGATGCAAAAAGGGCATCCGTGAGCCATTCCGTTCCACGAAGAGAAAGTTTACCTTTGGGTATTGTATTTGCTCTCTTCATAATGCGTTTTCGCTGCTTTTTCACAGGAGTGGCCCCCTCCTGCTCCTCCGTCTCACGCCCCTTGCCTTTGTCAAACGACGCCCTGCTACCTGCCCGCTCCTTGCCCTTGCCTTTTGCCCCAGACTCGTCTTGCCCAGACTGTTGTACTAACTCCCGAGGCTGCACGACAAGACCTGCCAACAAGCCAGCCCGCCTTTTCCCAATCTTGCGAGCCGCATGTAACATGAGCTCCGCACGAGCATCACTGAGCAGTGACGATGCCGCCCGTTGGTCCGCGCGTGTTTGCGGCGTCCACGAGGAGCTGAGGACTTGGGTCGTACTGGTGGATCCCAGCTGTTTGGAGGGCGTGGACGATCCGGCGGCTTGAGCAGAGCTGCGGGTTTTCCGAGGTGTCGGAATGGCAAGATCCATCTCGCGCTCGTGGGAGGTGCGATAGTAGGAGTGGGGACGTGACGGAGCTAGTGGCTCTTGAGAAGATGCCAGAGTAGATATGGTCGCATGGGTGGAAAGCGTTTGGGTACTGGAGGTTGCGGTATCTGGTTCCGTGGTTTGCAAAGCCGATACTTGTGATAGGTCTACATCGAGAACGGTATCTTCGCGTTGAAGTGCTGCCTCTGGTTGCTTTGTCGATACTTCAACCGCAAGTGAATCTGCCTCGGCGATAATTTCTGTCCTCGACTTTCTCGATACAGCGGATTTCGGTAGAGATTTAGTACGGCCGCTCGACCCGGGATGGACTGGAGGTATGAGAAGTAAAGGGCGCAGACTGTAAAGTTCTGCCTCGACGTCAATGAGACGGTTTCTCAGTTCTGCAATCTGAAAGCAAGGGTGACAAATCACGGAGTGAAATTAGTGTCACGAAACTGCGAAAGCTTTAAACATACCTTATTTCGCAGTCGCTTATTCTCATCTTCGAGACGAGCTACAAGACGGTCCACAATCTAACGAAAGAAAATAGAATATATTGAGCTTATGTATAGGTACATAGAAGCATGCACTAGGGATAAGTACTTTAGCGAGAGGTAACTTACTTCCTCCTTCGTGGTTGCTGCTGCTGCCGCCCTCTGTCTGGTCAGAGCCTCAGATGACCTCTCCCAGCCTTGGCGTTCAACTTCCCAACTGGCACGCGCGTCAGTATACCGACGTAGAAGAAGGTCTCTCTGAGCCGTCAAAGATGCAATTGTTTCGGCCTGCGAGGCTAATTGCTCGGACAGATGTTGGGGCGGCAAATATTGACATTGTGATAGCAGGCGGGAAACCTATCAAGCCATCAATAGATTTACGTTCATTAGAGTATACTGAGCGTACCATATGACCTAGTTCCAGCTCTAACGGCGTATGACTTGACGACGACGATACCATTGGTTGCACAACGAACAGGCCTGCCTGCCTTAATCTGGCTTGCATAGTCTGTAATTCCTCGCCAGTCATGAATTCAGGTTCATCTTGAGCCGCTGTGCAGTCTGGTTCCACAGATTGTTCAAACAAATTTCCGTCCACAGCTTCAACGTGATCTTCTGGAGGTGGACCGGGCGAAGGAGAAAGCGTGTGCATGATGTCGCTTAAAGCGAGTGGCTGATTTAAGTCTGATTGCATGTCAGCCCCTTTGCAACATCTGAAGCTGTCGGAAGACGTTAAATGTCGAGTCCGACGTGCTGGACGTCGTCAGCGACGTCGAAGTAGATGGTCAAGATTAGACCGGGTAATTCAGTCGGAGATGAAAGTTGAGAACGCGTATACGCGAGGCATCACGTGCTTGCTGAAGTAGCACGTGAAGGACCACTGAAGGCGCCTAGTTAAAGCTGAATAAGGTTACGGTCTATACCATCCACTGAGCAAGAACTCATAAGCCCAGCTTCCAATTGAAAGATTTATGACTCCTGGCTGAATGCCGCACTATCTGATTAGTGATAAGTGCGGTAACCACCATTTTTACAACGCAGCACTGTACTTTGAGTACGCCGTACGCGAGCAGCATGCTACATGCAGCGACAATGACAGTCCCTGACAAGCCGCTAAACATTGAGCAGCTTTTATCTAATTTCATAGCTTCGCTTTTCTTTCCCGATGTCCACCGCCGCTACAAGTATGTTCATATTCATGTGTACATTAAGTCCTTGTCGCAGGCTGTGATATACATGATACTCACAGTAACTCAGAGAAGGGGCATCGAAACTTGAAGGACTACGGGAAATTTTTAAATAGCGAGAATGATACCATCGGGAGCATCTTTGAAATACAGTGTAGTGCGGGTACGATGTGCCAGCGCCCTGCGGATCAATGTTGAGTCTCATGCATTCAGGAGGTCAGTGGAAATCGAAAATGATGCGATGAGCAGCCATCCCTTTTTCCGAACCACCACGTCACACATCGACGTAGCAGCTGTAGTTCCGCCAAAGGCTTGAGAAATATGATTATACAGTCCAAACAGGGCCCTGTAAATACAAATTCATGCGAGCAGTAGACTCCAGTGAGCCAATGAATCAGCAGCCACTCAGTGCACCAAAATCGGCTTGAAGAGCAGTCGAACCATTATATTTTGCTTCACTAAGACTAGAATCGACGGGTTACCAGCATACCACACATATCAATATGCTTGAGGCAGACGCACGACTCACAAAACATCGCGCTATTGCGGAGGGATTGAAGATATTGATGGTAAGCAGGTGAAGGACGACTCCTAGGACCTAGGAGTAGTTTCACTATTAGTCGCGTCTGGGAGTGCCCGAACGCCACGAAAGTGCTGACTAAGTTCAACGTTGTTTTCACTGTCAGTGTTATTCAACTGGCAGTTATCGATATCGTGGCCGGTATCTATATGCTTGTTTTGCCTAAACTTTCGGCGCAACTTGCGTCTGGCCGGTACGGGGACTAGTTACAAGTTCCGAACTCCGTTCTCACCTCTTCTGCCTAGCTGACGTCTTTCCACGCTCCCTGTGGGCACATCATACGCTGTAACGCGTAGTGAGTACTGTGAGTGGTGGCAAACACCAGGGAACTATCAATAGCGGGCCAGCGGCGAATGAGACTCTGAGCCGAGACGAAACATTATTTGTCACGTGACCTACCGTGGCAGTACGAGGAGCGCCCGTTTGCCACTCGGTACCTTTTCGCCTTTCCTTTCGACCACCTTCGCCTTGGAACTGTTTGTCACTCTAACCTCCTCCTCATGAGGCAATGACTAGCCATGTCTCCTCTTTCTTTCCAGTTCTCCTCCTCCTATGCGCTGGAGTCTGTCTTGCAGAAGTCGTCTCACTCAGGTCTCAAGCCAGCAACCGAATCACAGATCTCACAACTCGCGTGAACATCGGTCGCAGTCATGATACTTACGCCAGTCCAACCGGCATCGTTGACAACGAGCTTGAGCTTCTCGACATCGTTCTTGTTGCGTCGGTAGACGGTACTTTGCACGCTCTGAACAGGACTTCTGGCATTCCTCTTTGGTCGATGTCTTCACCCGTTACCGACACTGTTCCACCATCTCTCGGCCCCCTCGTACGGACCCAGCATCCAAAACCTGAACCTGGGGAGGAAGATACACTAGAAGTCTATGTTATCGAACCACAGTCCGGAGAGATCTACGTCATGCTCACCCCGGACAGTCCTCTGCAGCGCCTGCCACTCTCCATGCCCCAACTAGTGGAGATGTCGCCGTACAGCATATTCGGAGAGGACGGTATAAAGGTGTTCGTAGGAAAGAAGGAGACTTCGCTCCTTCTGGTGGAGCTTGAGACAGGCAGGGTGAAGGCTACAGTGGATCCACATTCGGAGTGCCCTTGGGATCCGTTCGAGGATATCTCGCGACAGTCAGACGAAGACGATCTGGATTTGGACGAGCTGGATGGGTCGAAACCCTCCAGGCGGAATCAGCCAACCACAGAGGTTTTTATTGGGCGAACAGGTGCGCGTTCGTTTCCATAGGTGTTTACCTTGGAGTTTTCATGTGCGCACACAACCAGACTATCACATCTCCATTCACACAAAGCCGTCGACTCCTGGACTACCCCGTCCACCGGTGCAAAACTTGTCATTCTCGACATATGGTCCGAATAACCAGGACCAGGTGATGCAGAACCTGTACCGGCGAACAGCAGACGATACCTACATACAATCACTTCCTAATGGCAAGATCTTGTCCTTCAAGTCAACCCTGAATACGGATACCGACGCTGCTCTCAACGCTCAGCTTGTTTGGGGGCGCTCGTATTCAAGTCCGATGTGCGTGGCTCTTTCCTTGCGCAGCTCCTGCCCTGACCACTAGCGCCAGTGTTGCCGTTTTTGACGTCGTCAGAACTCCAGTGCGCAGCCAGCCTTTCGTGCTATTACAGCCACGAATTGGCCTCGAGGATCTTCTCCCCAACACCGATCTGGCCTCCGCCGCTAAACATGATCGTCTCCCCAATTTAGAGCGCGCATACGTCGGTATGGTCGAAGAGACGGGCTCACTATATGCTATGAGTCCAGACAGATACCCGCTAGTTGTGTTTGGCGACGCAAATTTCGAAGAGGATTATGCACGTCGTGGCGGTCGCACGATTGATCCTCCACCGGGTTCAATCGTCTTCGATTCAGACAGAGACTTCCCCGCTGAAGTCGACTCGGTTGCCCAGGCGGTCAAGCGACAGAAACTGAGGGAGCTTTGTCGGAATGGGAGCAATGACAAGCGGTGCCTTATTGGTGTGCGCCCTCTGGAGTCGTCTCGCCTCAGTAGGTTGCTGGACGGCCCGCCCACTGTACCATACCCTCCTGGGTGGGACATTCCTGGCGGACAGCTTTCACCCGACAGTCGTGACAACTACTCTGGACCGCTTCCAGGTGCTGGCAATGCTTCTGTTCCGCCGCCACCGGGAGCAGGCGGTCGCGTGCTCGAGGGATCCTCCGGGAATTTCGTCGGGTACTCTGCTCAGGCATTGTCTACGTATGCTGTCGGGCTTGTCACGCTCGTGGCGATGTTCGCATGGCTGTTCCAGAAGATCGAGCGCAGGTCGTCCCGTCCAGCATCTCCTATACCGGGGAGCAGCCCACCTGTTGATGGTGCGCCGGTACCCATCTCTGTCGTTGAAGCCGTCAAAGTCGTCGCGCCTGCCGTGGACTTCCCTGTTGTCAGTGCCTCCCTTGACCAGCCGTCACAAACAGAGACAAAGCCAGAAGATCCACGCCCGGAGACGCCTCGTCCCAAGAGCAAGGTTGCGTTCGCTGATTGGATGAAAGTCGACGCTTTGGCTGCCGATGAAGATGAAGGTGGTGAGAACGGAGCGGAGGGCGATGAGAGTGACGGCGACCAGGTACCTGCAGCTGGTAAGCGCAAGCCTGCGCGCCGGAAGCGAGGAAAGAAGAAGAAGCCTGGGATGCTCAATGGTAACGCAGAGGAGGCGAACGGAGAGGCGAAGCCGGCCGTCAACGGTGCGGACGAAGAGCCTGCTACACCCAGAGGCGAGCGGTATCCAGTTCATGTTGTATCCCCTTCAATTGCCGTCGTGCCTCCACCTACACCACCTGTCCCTGTCATACCGTCTCTTGTCGTTTCAGATACCGTCCTCGGTAAGTGCTCCATAACCCTATCTCTATCACGACTGAGCATTGCGCAGGCTACGGCTCTCATGGAACGGTGGTCTACGAAGGCTCGTTACAAGGACGCGCAGTCGCAGTAAAGCGTCTGTTGCGGGACTTTGTAACGCTCGCCGACAGGGAAGTCAACGTGCTTCAAGAGTCAGATGATCACCCGAACGTCATTCGCTACTACTACCAAGAAGCGCACGCCAACTTCTTTTTCATCGCTCTCGAGCTCTGCCCCGCCACGCTTGCAGATGTCATCGAGCGTCCAGACCAATTCCGTGACATTGCGATTGCCTTCGAGCCGAAGCGTGCCCTACGCCAGATTACCTCCGGGATTCGACATCTGCATGCCCTGAAGATCATCCACCGCGACATCAAGCCGCAGAACATCCTGATATCGCATGCGAAGAAGGGTATCGGCGAGAGCGCGGGCCACCGGATGCTTATCTCCGACTTCGGTCTGTGCAAGAAGCTCGAGGTGGACCAAACGAGCTTCCTGCCTACGGCAGCTGCTGGCACCGTCGGCTGGCGTGCACCGGAAGTTTTGCGTCGCGAGGTCCGGATAGACGACTCGGCCGGCGACGAGTCGCAGTCTTCACGCGGCAGCGTTGGTTCCTCGTCGGACAACAGCGCGCTCAGCGGCAAACCGACGAGACTGACCAAGTCTGTCGACATATTCGCGCTGGGATGTTTGTTCTACTACGTGTTGACGATGGGCGGGCACCCATTCGGCGAGCGATACGAGCGAGAGATGAATATCCTGAAGGACACAAAGTGCCTGGATGGACTTGAGCGGTTCGGGGAGGAGGGTTCAGAAGCTGTGGACCTGATTTGCAAGATGCTGAGTCCGGAGCCGTATGCGAGGTATGTGCATATTTTGCATAGTCCGAGGTCTTGGTCTTGCTGACGTTGCTCTTCCCAGGCCGGACACGTCAACATGTTTACTGCATCCATACTTTTGGGACCCAGGCAAGCGCCTAAACTTCCTCCAGGATGCGTCGGACCGATTCGAGATCATGTGCCGCGACCCGCGGGATCAGATGCTGATCGAGCTGGAGAAAGACGCATTCAACGTCGTAGGCAATGACTGGAATGCCCGACTAGACAAGTGGTTCATAGAGAACTTGGGCAAATTCCGCAAGTACGATGGTCGGTCAGTGCAAGATCTCATGCGCGCTCTACGCAATAAAGTAAGTTTATCTTGCCCTCGACGAGTTGGGCTTACGTCTCTTGCAGAAACATCATTACCAAGACTTGCCCGACCACGTCAAGCGGCAAATCGGTCCAATGCCTGAGGGTTTCCTAGCTTATTTCACACGACGGTTCCCGCGCCTCTTCTTGCACGTCCACTCCGCTATCAGTTCTTCGCCTCTGCGCTTCGAGTCTATGTTCCGCACATATTTCGAACTCAACGATCAATAATTTCATGCAATTCTTTTGTATACATTGGGATCACTGGATATATCTTATATGTCGTGCTGTATTTGTACTGCTCTCACATGCTGTTCTACTTAGCAATCATAAATTACATACTCTGCGATAGCAATGGACGATGTGCGAGTGCAATAAATAGCAGAAGTCCTATGGATGCAATGTCTGTGAATGCCTATGAATGTAAAATGACAGCCTGAAACTTCATCGGCGCACCGCCAGTACAATGATGCAAACTATCACCGCTACGCAGAGCAGAGAGCCACCAAAGGCAGCGGCGAATCTGCAACGTTTGACCCATGGGTCGACAAAGTGCACATACCCATTTTTCTCTTCAACCATGGAGCGGACAGTATGCACGGACCGATTGTCCACAGGAGACATGGGCATCGTCTCCTGTGCCCGCACATGGGACCGCCAGAACGAAGACAGAGTTCTTTTGGACTTGGCCTCCTTTGAGGGCTTGACGATGCTCTTCGCTCTGCCACGCCTCGGCCATTTCCACTCCACGGTCTGCAGATACTGCCCGTCGGCTTTCACCTCACCGCTCGTAGACAAGTACCAACCGCCAATGAGCCAGCACCACGGCGCGACGAAGCCAAGCCAGAAAAGGATGCACGCCGAGGTGACCCGTCCGTTCCTCTCGCCCTCGCCCTTCCATGTGCGCTGCTCGCTCCGGAACGAGCCGAATGAGAGGCCCTGCAGCCACCGACGTTGGATGGCGGTCTCAACAGCAGTGGCATCTGATGTCTGAGAGCGGCGCGAGATCGTCTCGAGTACAGAGCGTTCGTCCTCGATCGAGTGCCGCTCGCTAAGTGAGTGATGTTCATCGAGCGAATGTTGCTCGTCGAGCGATTCCGACGTCGCGGGAGTTGACGAGCGCTGCATTGGGCTCAGCTCGATGTCGTACAGTCCGCTTGGCAGGCTCATGTGCGAGTGGGACGTATCTTCATGCCTCGCTTCCCCGTATGGCTCGTATCTGGTTTCCATGTACACCTCATGCTGATCGTCGAAGGGGCTCGACGGCTCGCCGAGGTCGTATTCGTCCTCATCTGGCCCACGCTCTAAGTCGATATCGGAGTCGGCGTCAGAGACGTGTATGGAGGGCGCGGTGATGAAGCTGTTGGTCCTGACTGAGTCCTCGTAGATGATCGATACCGTGATGTTCTGCCGCGGACTGCCAACGACTGTGGGTAGTGTTGGCGTCGCTAGGTTAGATCTACGCCCTGGAGCAACGCCGAGAGATGCGGCAAAGTTTGGGCGGACGTCAACTAGAGGAATGGAGGGTGTGTTCAATGAGGCGACTGTGCGCAATGTGCTGGTTGAGCCTCCACTGATCGTTCGCTTCAGAGGTCTGTTGATGAACGCGGTATGCGTTGAATGAGCTGCATCGAATCAGCCGGACATATCCTTGAGAAATATGACGAAGGCTTACATGTGACAGAGTCCGGGGTAAGAGGGATGGAATCCATAGAAGGATGTCGCATCGTGGGGAAAATAGGTCGCTCATCAGACGTGGATTGTTTCCCGGGGGTAAGAGACGTAGTGCTGCCGGATGCATCCGTAAGAAATACAGGATGTATGCGCAGCGATTCGGATCCGGCGCTCTTTCGCAAGCCTGGTGCTGGAGTAAGTTGCCTGGGACCCTCTGGTGTAACCTCGTCATTGGACGACGCAGAGTGGTTCGGGGACTTGAGCAGGCTGACACTTGGATTCGGAGAAGGAGAGCCAGGGGTTGGGGCAAGCCAGGATACATGGGACGGCCTTGTACGTTCTAAGCTGAGCGCAAGAGACGATGGAGTTCTACTGAGGCCGCCAGAATAGTACGAGGGGCTCGGAGGAGCCCTCTGTTTGCCTTTGCCAATAGTTTGCTGTGAGTCTTCTGAACCGCTGCGGCTAAATATGCGAGTGAGTGATTCGAATAAGTTGGAGGTTGAAGCCATAGCCATGACGGCAGCCTCCGGTGAATCTTGGGACAAAGTGGCAGGAGGTGGATGGTGAGCTCGGTGTCAACAGTTGAAGGGGCGTGCATGTCGACGGAACAACGTGCCGTCATCTCCGACGGGCAAGGTCATAGAGCACGCCTCAAGCTTGCGTAGGAGGACATGCTCTTCTTTGCGCTGTGATGAAAAGTGCAGAAGCCGAAGCGTGGTGAGGCAACGTGTGTGGAGAATCTGCGCTCTTTACACCTGACGACGACGACGGCATAAATGGATAACATGGATCTTAGGCTGCTTGAGTATGCAGTTATAATACAATAGTAGCTTAGGGCTCACCCATAACAATGTGAGAAAATACAAAACTCGGCTTTAGAAGCCATGAGGCAGAATGGCTGTGGCCTCGTGGCGACAGCGTGCGAGCGATATCGAGTTATGCACCGCAATCACGAGTCATCTGATTCCAATATGCAACTTCGCGCAGCAGACACAGTAAGTTTCTCGGTGGTCCTCAAGCTGCGCGACGTCAACATGAGATCTCCCATGAAACGCGGTCCTGCAAAAGCTAGAAACGAAGAGGCTGGACGATCCTTTATGCTGTATATTGAGTTTCGGCGATAGGTATATACGCGTTGACATCGAGGGTGGCGCCCTGGAGCTGAAGGCTGCTTAGACCGTTTCGGCTGGTAGCGATTTCATGTCCCGGGCGTTCGAGACAAGCTAAAGGCTATTGTAAATGACCATCATGGCTCCGAACGCCCTGAACATGGAAACGGCGCTCCTGTATGCACATCTTGGGCAACAAAATAAGGGGTATCCAGGACAATAAACCGATTTATACTGTAAAAAGCATAATGTATTGAATACTTCGTCACTGATAGAGCTTATGAAAGACCACACAAGGACAAGAAAACTATCGGTAAGTGCGTACGCTTCACTTCACGACAGAGACTACGTTGCTCGACTATTCCTTAATCATTCTGAGTCGTTGAAGACGTGAACCGACGTTGATGTCTTGGTGCCGTGGATGTAATAAGAGCTACACGCACTCGCAGAGCGAACACACCGGCGTGCTGAATGAGCGTCTAATGCAGCAGCGGAGTATATATCGGAGAGAGCTCATTTGAATGACGAAGTTGGTCGGGAGTTGAATACTTCACAACACCGCATTTGGTTCGCTTTGTTCTCGTTCCTATTGGTCGTTGCTGTTCGTCTCGTCTTCAAAGATTGCCCTCATGGTTTGCTTGACCTCTAGTGCTGTCGTGGCGCGAGAGGACCTTCTCAACCACGCTTGCGACTTTGTCTGAGAACAAGTGGCCTCCTCGACAGCTGCGATTCACGAAGGCGAACAATAGGCTACCGCGTAACGATGGGAGGAGTTGTTAGGACCAGAGAATGCTAGAACGGTGGTCTCTGCTAGGGGCTGGGCTAGAGCGATGGTAGAGCCAGTTGGGCAAACATGTCGATTTCCCTCCTTTTTCCGTGAGTCAAAAACTGGCGTTTTGGAGATAGGCGAAGTGGAACATGAACGAATACACCTTGAGAACTTCGTACTTTACGTCGTGTGAACCATGGCATCGGCCGTTGCTATTATTTCTGCGTGAAGACGGAAAGCATTCGTGGGTCAAGGCGGCAGGCGGAAAGCGAGAGCAGTTTGCGCCCGCGCATCTTGTCTCTTGCCACCACCACCGACAACGCTGTCCCACTTCTGCCTCAAACCACCTCGTCGCTGTTGGCGATGTCTGGGAAGGCGCCGCCTCGCGCACCGCGAGCGTTGTTGAACTCGTTCGTGCCATCGGCGGGATCGTCCACTGCAGCTCAGCCATCAAACGCGCCCAGTTCCTCGCGGTTAGGAGCAACACCTCCCACAGGGCCACGGAGTCTCACCCAGCGTGCCAGCACCATTCTACAGCCACCAACAGCTCCTTCAAAATACGTGAATGGCCACTCTGTGTTTCCCTCTGGCCCTGCTGGCGGCGCACCGCCTAAAGGCCCGAGCGCTATGAGGAACAAGGGGAAACAGTTCGAGAACAGCTGGAACGGGAGTAGCCCAAGTGGAGTGAATGGTTGTCTATCAGGTCGTGTAGGCAGAGTAAGCTCATCCGTTCACCCATCTATCCAGAGCTCGCCGTCTCAAGCGCAACTTGGTACCCAAGTCAACGGCATAGCCGACCAGTTGCGAGATGAGCCAGCCTCCATTCCCGTCCCTGTGCCCACGCCTGCACCTGCGCCCCCGACTGCACCTCGAAGCTTTTTCGTAGCGGCAGGACCGTCGTCTTTGAACAACCAGCCTACAGGTCCTGCTAGGAAGATATCAATCAGGCTACGACCACAACCACCGCAGCCGACCACAGAACCGCCGCCTCCACCTCCACCATCCAGCACCCCGCCACCACCACCGCCACCACCTATAGATGCCCCGCCTCCTCCGCCTCCTCCGGGGCCGCCACCACCCAACGATCCACTCCCACCACCACCACCGCCATCAGGGTGGCCGCCATCTCCTCCGCCACCGCCCCCATCAGACCCTCCGGCTCCGGCTCCTGACGATTTGATTTGCATTGCAGGGGCTTCCAGCAAAGCACCAAGTTCAACCCCACCTCCACCAGCCGGACAACCGCCAAGCCCACCCCCGCCGCCGTCAGAAGCGCCGCCACTACCACCTCAGGAGTACATTCTGCCGGAATGGCCACCACCACTCTCAGAATGCCCAGAGGGCAAAGATTTCAAGGTGCTGTTTGATTCTGCGACGGACAGGCACCGTGAAGCAAAACTGCGCCCGTTGATAGACCTGGTGCAGAAAGCCAACCCTGACCGTGTCAAGGGCAAGCCCGGCAAGGAAATGTTGGTTAGGTACAACGGCGAATTCGTTGAAGGCGAACCCGAACCTGTGCCACGAGATCCTAGGAAAGACTCGAAGGTTAGGTCGAGGCCACCGCGTACTGACTTTTATGAGATCAAATACGAGGTATGTCAACTCTGTTGAATTCCACTCATCACGTCTAATACGTCTTATCTTCAACAGTACGATGCGAATTCGGCCGGTCCCGCGCCTCCCGCGGCCGTCCTGGTGTTGAATCTATCACCTCTCACGCCCAATCAAACTATACGGCGCCATTTCTCATCGTATGGTCCCATCTTGTCGTTCGAGCCTCAGATCAACACGGCCAACGGCGCCGCATTGGGCATTGTTCTCATCCGGTTTAGTACTCACGAAGAGGCAAAGAGATGCGTAGAGAAGGAGCACGGGAAGAGGGGAGCGACTGGGATAGGTAACAGCTTGACCATTGTGGAGGGTGAAGAGCTCAAGGTGGTGCTTGATGGGGAAGGGAAGAAGCTGGCCGCGGTCATGAAGGGGCTGGATCACAGGAGGAGACGAGACAGGGAAGAGAGAAGGCGAGCGGAAGAAAAGAGAAAGCAGGAGGGGGAGCGGAAGAAGAGGGAGACATCCGTCTTGATGAATACACCCAGCACGAGTGCGAGTCATACGCCGGCATCCAGCGCTCCTTGGAGGCCAAGTTCGCATCCGAGCATGTTGCAAGCAGAGTCGATGCGGGCGGCGCATTTTACGCCACATTCGTCCGGCTCGTATGCCCACTTCCGGATAAATGGCTCATCGTCCAGTTCACATCTCCTGTCTCGATCACCTGCGACACCATCACAGTCTGGTTTGACAGGCCTGCCTACTCCGCCAATCGACTCCTTGGTTCATGGGCCCGCTCGGATACGCCGTGCACCGCAGTACGGGCGCATGCGAGACGAAGACTCGGGAGACGGCCCGCCAAGCTACTCGCGAAGTCATGCCCCAAGGCCGCCTCTCCCGCCATCACATTCGTCCTCTGCTCCGTCGTGGAGAGGCCGCCGGGCATACTCGTGGCGTGACCGCGACGACGATGCCTCGGTGCCGACGTCTCGATCTCCATCGCCGATACGGCGGAGAGGCGGGTTCTCAAGGACAGCGAAGCAGAGGGAGCATGAGGCGGTCGTCGAGGAGCTGGCCAAGAATGGGTACGACTACGTCACGCTCGAAGCGCATGGGGGTCAGTTGAGTGGTGCGGTACGGGAAGAGGATGTGAAGAAATTCTTCACCAGCTTCGAGGTCGATAAGGTGCGTGGGATAGTTTCGGCTCTCTGATTGGTATTGATCGTCGCGGCTCTCAATGACTTAGGTTCTGCAAGACCACATAGGCTGGTATGTCACGTTCAAGACAGCGGACACGGCACGGCGCGCGGCTATGTTCCTTAACACCGGCAGACGAACGCTGAACCGTCAAGCCGTAAACGTCATCATTCACGCAGCTCCGTCGCTACAATCGCTTCCCTCTAACACAACATGGACCGACTCGGAGTTGATTGAGCAAGCGGAGAAGCTCATTCTGAAGGATCTTCGCGCTTTGCTACAGCAAGACGTCGTCGAGCGGATCGTCACTGACGAGATTCGGCGTGTCATGATGGAGGAGAGGTCGCGGGGCAAGACGCGCGTTGGTGCGGTGCCCGACGGAAAGGGGGTGCTGGAGGAGCGCAATGCGGTAACAGATCCATTAGTTGGTCTGGGTATCAGCGTCTCCACCGGCCTCAAGGGTCTGTCGTTCCGGAAGCAGAAGAAGTACATCGAAGAGCCAAAGCCTTCTGCCCCCCAGACACCGATCGTCGAAGAAAGCGAGCTTCCACCAGTCCAGGAGCCCGAACCGACTCCCATCATTGACGAAGAGCTTGCCGTGGAAGAGCCACCGAGGAAGAAGCCGAAGAAGGTTACGCCCAAGACTGTCGCTGACGAAGACATCGAGTCGGAAGACGATATGCCCGCACCTATCGTCAGCATCACGTTCACGGCTGAGCCGACACCTCCTCCCCGTAAGAGGGCTCCCTCCGTCTCAGGCGTGATCGAGGAGCCTCCGAAGAAGAAGAGCAAGAAAGCCGAGGCAAAGCCCAAGGAGCCCAAAAAATCGAAGAAATCGAAGAAGGCGGAGAAGGCGCAGGAGCCTGTGACGATCGACGAGCTGATTCACGAAGTCATCCCGAACGAGAACGACTTCGCTGCCCCTGCGCTCGCGCATGTGCGCGTTACACCTACATACGAATCTTCGCCCGAGCCGTCTGTTCTTCCTGTTCAGTCGAAACGTCCGCCCAAGTCGACGGCCTTGTCGCCGCCAAAGGCTGTCAATCCATTCGATGCCGATATCTGCGCGGACGACGAAGACGAGTATTTTGCCAAACTGGCGTTGGACGAGATACTTCATGGTATCGCGCCGCCTACAGCCACTCTCGAGGTGTCCGAGCAGCCAACCGAGGAACCTCGACCATTCCGAGTGCACGTTACCGGCTCTGCACGTACAGAAGGCTATTACAAGATCCCGCACGCGGAGAAGTCCGCTTATGTCGCACAGTACGTTACGCGGACGACGGCGAATGAGACAAACGCGGAAGAGGAGCCGGCGACTCAACCGAAAAACGTCACATCTTCGCGGTCGAATCGTGCAAACGCGCGTCGGCGGGCTCAGGGTTTGGAAGAGATGAATCAGGTGCAGCTCGCGATGGCACTATCGAAGGGCGAGAACGCTGCAACGGAGCTGGTCAAGTTCAACCAGCTGCAGACGCGCAAGAAGCACCTTCGTTTTGCGCGTTCGCCCATCCACGATTGGGGTCTCTATGCGATGGAAAAAATCTCGCGGGGAGAGATGGTCATCGAGTACGTCGGCGAGATCATCCGTGCGCAGGTCGCAGACAAGCGCGAGAAGGCGTACGAGCGGCAAGGTATTGGCAGCAGTTACTTGTTCCGTATCGATGAGGACTTGGTGGTGGATGCGACGAAGAAGGGTAACCTTGGGTAAGTGGTCGTCCTCTTGGTCCAAGATGTTATACTGACAGCTACTGCAGGCGTCTCATTAACCACTCGTGCGATCCTAACTGCACGGCCAAGATCATCACGATCAACAGCGAAAAGAAGATTGTTATCTACGCCAAGCAGGACATCGAGCTCGGGAGCGAAATAACTTATGGTACGTTTGTCGCCCATTTTACCTGCTTGCTTCTGCTCACATATCATCCTTTCAGACTACCACTTCCCGATCGAACAGGATAAGATCCCCTGTCTGTGTGGATCTGCCAAGTGTCGTGGTTACCTCAACTAGACTCTCTGTCCCGCCCATCCTAGTATATATATTATTAACTCACATACCCTTGTTGTTGTCAGTTACCATCTTTGCTCTCCTAGCTCGCTGCACCGCCCCTCGCTCGTATCACGTTCATCCTGTATTTTCGTGAACTCTTTTCCTGCATCACTCCTCTCTTGTTCATTTCTTCCTCCTGTTTTTATCCCTCGTGCATTAATGACCACTCCACGCTTGCATCGTCGTTACGCCCCTCGCTACGTGAATACATTGAATAGCTGCTACGCCCTCCTGCATCTTCTGAACCTCGATCGTGGGCTTGCTTGAGAGCGCGTCAGAATACGGAAAATGGTTCACTTGGACTCAGCCAAGCTGGGATATTGCCGCAAAGCACTTGAAGGGCGCATCGGTGAATTTCTCATCGCGTCGTAGCGATGTCGTGGCGCTACCGAAAGGTAGATTTAGCGCTTGAAGTGCAAGCTGCTGGGTGGATAACAATCACTGCACGCGTGTTCATGCTACAGATTCCAATTATCAACAAACTTAGACTTAGTTTACAAGCGTAGAACATAAGTAACATCAGAACAATGTGGGGCTCCGTGCCAGGACGCTCAGACACAGCGGCTCAGGCGTCGGGACCAAGAAGCACTCGCACGGTTCGATCTTGAGGACGCCACGCCTCAACGAGGCGGGCACCATCTCCTCAATCATGCGCTTGCACTTCTCGTAGCGATAGGGATACGCCGCGTCCGAGCCGTACGGGTGTCGGAGCACGAACTCGAGGGCCTCGAGGCGCGAGAAGCGCTCCATGTACGCGAGGTCCGCGTCGATAAGCCCCGCGCAGGCGTCCACGAAGCTGTCAGGGAGTGTAGAGGTCAGGTAGGCGCAGACAGAGATGCGCCGCACCGTGTCGGGCAGCTTAGAGAGCGCGACGAGGATGTATTGCCAGAGGCAGTCAGGCGGGTAGCAGGGCGTGCGGAGCTCGAAGGTTTCGAGGTTGGGACACGAGGATAGGCAGAGGGACGTGAACGTCTCCTTTGCGCCTGGAAAATGTGTGAGTAAATGGTATCGACTATGCCCGTGTGCTTACCGTACCGAGCTAGCGCGAGATGCGCAGACATGTCCAGCTGGTAGTGACGAATGGAATGCGCTCTCATAGAGACGAAGTGGGACACAGCCTCGATGTCTCCCGGCTTGATTCGCACCCTGAACGAATGCAGGTCATTGAACCTGCAGACGCGATCGAGCATATTGTACGCCATGGATGAGCGGATATTATCCAGAGCATCGGGATCGGCAATGAGGCTGCTGATGCGTAGTCTCGGAGGGAACTGTAGCTGGAGAAAGTTATCTTCGACATGGGGCGGCGATGCCTCGCAACCGTCGACTTCAAAGCGTGGGGTGTCAAAGCAGAGCACCTTGATCTCGGAAAAGAAGGAGAGGATGTCGAGGATATCCTGCGCATAGACGCCGTGATGAATCTGCCCAGGGTCTTGGAACCGCGATGAAGTTACATGCTGAAGCACGAGCTTCTCCAGCACCCAGCATATACCGACCCTACGGATCAGTGGTAGACCGGAAGGTCCGTCGCGGCGTGAGTCCCAAAGTAGATCATAGAGGAACAGGCGGCGGAGTGCTGGCATCTGTGCGAGGGAGTGCAGGCTCTTGGGTCCGAAGCAAAGCTGGCGCAACTCAGCGGCGTTGTACTTCCCGAACCACGAGCCTTCTCCATAGATGCGAAGTTCTCGTACGTAGTGGCGTATACGCGATGACTGCTGAGCCTGGGCTAAAAACGCCTCGAGACCTCTCTCTGACGTAACTCCCAGCAAGGTGATGCTATCTAGCAGGTGATATTGGCTAGAATTGCGCCACATGCGAGATGTCAAAGAGCAGGCTACGAGGCTCGCCTTATCGTCGTGGAGATGGTCGATAACCATATCGACGAGTTCATTGTAGAGACGCATGTCGCCTAGAGATAATTCCATATCGGCGTAACACGGGAGACAAAAAGCGACGGGGGGTGGCACAGGTTGGAAGGGAAGGACATTATTATAGGACAGAGGCTTCGCGCGCCTGCGGCGTACAATCCCCTTCCAAGCGTCGCGCATTCGCAAACATGAGGAAGCGTAGCGTATGATCCTCAGCTAGTGTTGTCGCAGAGTGTAGGTGGATGGCTCTGGGGTCGCTAACATGTTCGGCACGTCGCTCTGGAGCTCTCTGGATCGCAACGGGGCTGATTCTGGGGGGCCCCAGCATAAGTCGGGGTGATGCGTCAGGCAGAACGGCCGTGGGCAGAATAAGACTGCTCTTGTGCCAATCACTACCATTGGTAGTGCCACCGGCCGGTGTACCTCCTCAATGAGCGATAAGGTATAATCGATATATGATGGCCACTCTTGCTGTCTGCTGCGAGTTCATCAGTTTAGAACAATAAGGCCACAGGGATGAAATAAAGAAATGCTAGATAATGGCAAGAGGGGAGGAGGAGCGAAAACACTGACCATTAGATGAGACAAGGTCATGGCTAGAGACAGCGACGAATCAATGGTACATAAGCGAATGATGCCGGACAAGGGCAGATGTACAGATCGCACACCTTGTCGCATGTCCACAACCATGTAACGAGATAGTTCGCTAGGTCTCGTATATACTTGCACCTCGCAATCTACGAGCTTGCCGGAGCCACGAGACGTTCGTACATCTCATGTCCACATACCTCACGGCTACCTTCGATCACAAGATCTTCACTCGGCGGGTAGCCACTAGGGCGTAGGCAAGTTATTGGTCTTCAAGATGGGCTGGTCATAACTGTAGACGAGATATGTCGTGGCTGCAAGTGGGAGTGACTGTATGGCGTCGAATCCAGAGTCTGGACGGGATAGTCTCGTCCCAGTGGTTTTTCAAGATACGGCTCATTAGCCGACAGCGTTTACCCGTCGGAGTCTAGAGCGGGCGGGAATGTGCTTGAAGGGGAGATGCCGGCATGTCGGCGGAGTGATACTGTCACTTGCATTTCTCAATCACGCGTGTCGCACCCTCCTCATTCAGTGTCCATCACTACAGTCACCACAACTGTCTTGGAGATCATCATATAATATGCTCTTCTTGTAAATTACCAAGGGTTATAATATATCTGAGGTTTACCCAGTACAGTCAGTTGAAAAACTATGGGATGAGTCTCGCAGTGAGCAGCACAAAGCCGGGCGGGTCAAATGCCTCAGGTGACGGCGGGATTACCACTTCAGCGGGACGTCTTACTTCGTTCGCACTAGCGCTTGCGGAGTTTTCGAACTCCGTATGCTGTAATTTGCCCGGGGAGTGTCTATCGTTCTAAGTACCGCTGTAAGGACAACACAATTAAATCCTCAGCTATGCGCACAGACTTTCTTGTAGGCAAAATTTATTGCTTTCATCGAAGTACACCATAGAATTTGTCTCAATAAGCAGTAGGTTTGTTCCACGAAAGAGGCTGAATTCTGCATCTCAATTTCTTGCGCAGTATAATGACACCGGCTCTCAAAGATTAATTAAGAAAGTAACCGATGCCAGTGGGCCCTTCGATCACCAGCTTTTAGCGGGATAATAATGATATAGGAAATACTAACTGGAGCTGGATTCCGCTAGTGTCTTTGACGAGACCTTAGGCTCAAGCTTGAGATCTGAGAGTGGTGGCTGTAGGCCCGAGTACGGTGTCACCCGGCGCGGGCGAGGAAGAAGAAACGCGCGTTCAATACACTGATCGACATGCTTTCTCGCGCCGAGTTCGCCGTTCATGCACATGTTTGGCCCCCCGTGCTGTTTCGCGTAGATGATAAAGAGAAGCAGGCCGATGCATCAACTCGCGTACGCTCAGTCTTCTTAGCCATGGGAGCAAGAGATCCTACGAAACACCACTTAAGCCCTAGTGCAGTCGTGTGTGGTACAACTGGCTTCTCAAACCCTCTAAACCTTTGATCACAGTCGTTGTTGACGGTCTCTATTTGTCTTTTACAAATAGACCTTCCTGTTTTAGGAGCGGGTGTAGTGTTGCCGCGGATGAGCCACGAGTTGGACCGGTCCAAAATCCGGCATTATCCGCACGTGGCGGATAATGATGAGTTGGCCGCCAGATAATCCGGCAGGTTGTGGGAAAGCTGACAAAGACACTATATATGGTAGGCAACTGAACTCACTGAGCAGACGGAGACTGGCGAGGCTCAAGTGGGGACAGCGTAGCAGATGTATTAGTAAATTATTAGGATTCAGTCTCATTAATAGCTTCTCTAGTTCGTCCACATGGCCTTCTGCAACCATTCTATCAATTTGTTCTACTGAGACTGCCGGTGCCAGATCACCCTTGGAAGCCAGCCTGCCGCCTCTCACCGCGCTGCCGCAGATACAAATGCTTCAGAATTTGAAGCCTTTCCATCACTTCGGGGGACAAATTAATCCTTCGGAGAGTATCCATCTCCTTGCTCGATGAGAAGACGCGCTCGCACGGGACAGCAGAAGCTTGCACGGGCAGGATATCCAGTGTGACATGATAGATCAGAGGAAAGCGGTATTGATTGACCTGTAACGTAGTGAGCAACAGTAAGATAACGCACTGCAGCGACATACCTGCCAGGTGTGACAGATATTAAAGCCCGGCCCTGTTTCAGTGTCAGGGAGAACACCCTCCTTCTCATACCGAGTTGCCTCTTCCTCAACGGCGCGGGCATAATCTGCCTCCAAAATGTGACTATTATCGACATCTGGCTCAATGGTGGCTGCCTCGGACTGTACATTGCTCCTTTGAGCTGTAGCTGAGGTGCTTACAGACTCATCAGAGAGTTCTCGGAGCAATGCGCGGATGCAGCCTACACCGTGAGCCTGTGAGCAAGCTGTGATACTCTGAGATGATGGTGAAGACGGGCCACTGGGGGGAAGATTGGACTGTGAAGAACAAAGCTCTCGCCGAGATTCAAGCATTTATAAGTAATACACCCAGGAGTAAGTTTAGCGTATATGTGCAACGAGATCTACGCACCGCTTCTCGAAGCCAGCGCTGGGCATCCGCAGCCTCCAGTGCTTGTCTATCCAGGTAAATTTGAAACCAGGGTGTACAACTGAAAAAAAGGCTTGGTACGATGAATTTTCCATTAAGAAAGATATGGCGTGTTGCAGCAGCAGCAGGCGCAGCAGTACCAGAAGTACGGCGAGCAGAAGATGAAGCGCGGCAAGCGAGGCGGTAAAGCCTACCGCGAGCGCGAACACGCGCATTTAGCTTCTGTGGCGATTACGCCACATGCGCCTCGCCCTTCGCTCGAGTCTCGCATCGAATGCAAGCGCCCTGTTGAGCCTTCAAGCTCTCAGTACCCGCGCTTCAAAGCCGCTGTCGAGCTCAATAAAGAACTTGCGACAGCATATGCTTTGCTTTTCTGTGCGATGCTCAGATATTTGTGCAGCCGGCCGATTGATGCATTGATTTGACGGCGGTGCTGCGCCCTCACTGCGTCCGCGTTTCTGCTTCGGTGCTTGTACTGGCTGCGGAGGTGACTGGGCTGACACTGAGACAGCCGGCCCGGGGTTCTGAGGTGTCAGTGAAGCTAAAACAGAAGGAGAGGACTGACTGTGAAGATGTGGACCGGCAGGTTGAAGTAGGTGCGGATAGGCTGAGTGGTGCCAGTAGGGAGTCACAGGCAGGTGGGGACGGCTAATGGGGTCTTCTTGTTGCTGGGCCTGGCTCATAGCATGGGTTTGAGGCTGAGAATGAGAACCGGTGGGCTTGTTTGACACAGCTGCACCTGATGTATTATAGCTGAGCACCAGAGAGAGAAAAATGCGCAGAGTGCACTGTGTACTTCACACTCGGGAGCCAGATTATTGACCTGTGAAGTGTGGCTTGAGTCGCTTGTTGTTTCAAGTTGAAAGAAACATACCGGCTGCCCTGGTCCCTGGGCAGTAGCTCGTACAGTAATCAGGTCTTGTGTGATTTTTTCAAATAAATATATTGATCTGTCGTGTTACTCTAGCAACAACCTCAGGAAATAACAGAGGTGAAAGGGGGCAAACACAGCTACAGGCAATGAATCGAAACACGAGGAACACTTACCATGCACGCGATGCGTTCTCGTGCAGTCTTGCGTGACCGCGTCGACCTAGAATTGATGGATGGCACCTGAGTCGGCATTCTCCGAGTGGGAGCCCATCCGGATTGGACGGATTGGCGACCCATCAGACCGGATCGGATTCTATCCGGATAGAATCCGAATCCGCGGCAACACTAAGCGGGTGGGAGCTTGGAGGGCGCGCCGATCCTTTGCCCAAACGGGGTGCGGTTAAGACTCACAGGTCGCGGTCGCTGTGAGCTGGCTCGAACCCCACCCGCTCTATGGTTGAGCATGCCTTATGACAGGCTTGAGGCTCATGTGCCCATGCCTAGTGTCGATCTATGATACATGTCTCACGGCTAATCTGCGGCACCAGCGGAAAAGCCTTGTACCCCTGTAGCCACCGTGAGCTGGCTCGAAACCGTCCCAACTCATCCCAAAGGCGTGCTCAATTCTACATGGATGGGATGGGATGGGATGGTTTCGAGCCAGCACACGGTGGCTGTGGCTTTCCCGTTGATGGCATAGATTAGCCGTGAGACATGAATCAGAAATAGATCTGTTCCTAACCCGCCATCCCGCCCTCGAGTCCCGCCTGCTTCCAAAACAAGTAAGTCTATTTGTACGAAACAAATAGGGACCGTTCACAATGACTGTGAGGTAGAGGGGATAGTTCGCGCAACGCACTGTCCAGTATGCAATGGAGAGAGAGGAATCGGGACAATATCACAGAGTGGTGCCTGGAAGAGGTTCCATAATGCCGACATATGCCTATAGACCATGACAGGCTGCGGGCACCGCGACGAGCACATCGCGCGAAGGGCTCGTGATGACAGCAGTGATTTCAAGAACCTCGAGTGTTGACCCCAATAACATTCAAGCCTTCATACGAAATCATGTAACTCTTCAGCTCACTTGCTAATAAGTA